AGCTACTCAGGAGGCTGAGAGAGAAGAATCGCTTGAACCCAAAAAAAAGAAGAAGAAAAAGAAAAAGAAAAGCGAGGACTAAAGTCATATAATTTAATACTTCTGCAACATGTTACCATTTACAAAGAACGTTTGAAACACATTATCTCATTAAATTCCCTCAACTAACCTTCCAGGTAGATATTATTTCCATTTTACAGATAAGGAAAAATAGGTTCAAAAGGTTTTAAAAGTTGGTCTAGCACTAGTGAAGCTGGGACTGACTACAACCCAGTTCTTTCTACTTGAACAGCCTCATTACACCAACAAATCAACACTGTATCACTAAACGTCCGCTTCAGACCCCTCTCTATGGCTATGCCAACCTTTCTGTTACAAGAAAAAAAGACGCGACAGTACAGGCTATTTTGTAGCAAGCAGTACAGCATCCTGACCCAGGCTGACCTGGGTCACACACCCGCACAAGAAAATCCTGCGCAATCAAAAGTATCCTCAAGATACTATCCATCCACTGAGCTGCTCAAAGTGGAGGCAGCTCAGTGGTTAGCATAGAAAGGTGTCGAGTCCCAAGCTTTGTCCCACCTTAATGACCTTGGGGAAGGAACTTAACTACAGGCAGGATCTTGGGACTCTTAAGGGGAGTACCCTCTGCGCCGGGGATACAGGAGAGCTGAACAAATGAGTGAATGAATGTGGTCTCAGCCCTGCCCTAGATCGTAGGCACTTCACAGAACCCAGTAACCGGAAGGAAGTTTCTGTATCTCAACCGAACCCTATGTCCCCAGTTTAAAAACCTGCTGGGTGAGAAAAGAAAAACCGCGGCAGCGACCCAGTCCCGACTTGCCAGCAAGGTTTTCCCTCAGCGCGCCGTAACTCTTCTGGAGGATCCTGGGGTTATGAAAACTCAGAAGTCAAGGTTATTCCTTGTCCCAAAATGGAACGCAGCAGGCTCGGTGGTCTCGCCCAACCCTCATATCCCAGGGTTTACTGCCTTTCCTCGAGAGACATCACCTTTCCCACGCTAGAGCTTGCCCCCAAACCAGGAAAAAATGTCGGGTGAGGGCAGCGTGCACTGCGGAAGTCACGCACTACATATCCCAGGGGGCGCCGCGGCGAGGTGGCTGAAATAGACGTCGCTCACGTATTTTGGGGGCATTCTGGGCATTGTAGTTCCTCATTCTGGGACGCTTTACATGGCTTAAGATGTTGAAGATGTAGGTCGTTTAGGTGATTTTCTACTATGTGAGGTTTTTCTCCTAGTCCTTGGAAGACTACTACTTTTATAATACACACAAAAATATATTTAGGAAAATGAAATTTAAAAATGTAAACATGGAAAAGGCACGTACAGATTTTTATTATTTTTAGCATATATGAAATAACTGTCAAGTAGCTTTGAAAGTATGCAAACTCTTACTCTCAATTTTTGCACTTATGTCGTGGATAGGTACCAGTTTTCAGACCGTATTTTTTAAAAATTACCATGGTACTTGAATAGTCACAAGATTTGACACTTCTTTGACACAAAAAAAAAAAAAAAAAAAAAAAAAAACAACACTAATAAATAACCAAACTGGAATGCTTACCAAATTTACAAGAGACTTAATGTTCAGCTGAGAATCACTTCAACAAAGTAAGGCTCTAAAGGTACCAGACAAACTGATACTTGTTGGAATACGCTGTACAAATTTCTTATTGTGTGGGTTACGGAGGAGGCTCTGGGTTTATGTGGTCAGGGTTCTTGTCATAAAACCAATTTTAGCACAGTTTTCATTTCTTTTCTTTTTTGAGACAGGGTCTCACTCTGTCTCCCAGAACAGAGTGCAGTGGTACGATCTCAGCTCACTAGAACCTCCACCTCTTGGGTATAAGTGATTCTTCTGTCTCAGCCTCCCGAGTAGCCAGGACTACAGGTGTAAGTCCTCATGCTTGGCTAAGATTTTGTAGTTTGGGTAGAGACAGGGTTTCCCCATGTTGCCCAGGATGGTCTCGAACATCTAGGCTCAAGCCATCTACCCACCTCGGCCTTCTGAATTGCTTAGGATTACAGGCATGAGCCACTTTACCTGGCCTAAAATTTCAATAGTTCTGACAGTGTATGCAAGATGTTGAGGAATGCCCTCCCCTGGAAAAAAATTAAAACTTGAAGACTTCCTTCTAGAATTTTCAGTAACCAATATATATTTATTCTGACATTTCTGAAAACAGAGCAAAATAAAATTGAAAAGATGCTGGCATACATCTAATATATCAGGTTTACTTTATGACTGACTAGTCTTAATACTCCTAGATTTGGGGGCATATAGGCAGCAGAATATTCTACATTTGTTCAAGTAGAATAAAGGAAAAATTAGAGTCAAATGAGAATACATTTTTTGTCTAGTGTCAGTAACCTTCAATTAACCATGAAGACATAGGGAATGGTTAAGCCGTCAAAACTAGTTTTGTTGTTGTTGTTGTTGTTTTTTTGAGACGGAGTTTCGCTCTTGTTACCCAGGCTGGAGTGCAATGGCCCGATCTCGGCTCACCACAACCTCCGCCTCCTGGGTTCAGGCAATTCTCCTGC